ATGCAATGCAATATGACACCATGAAATGATATGCCTCAGAATGCCAAGTACTCTCTCAACCGTATATACATAATACTCCTCAGAATATACATCGAGAGTTCATGACCCATGGGGGACTCGCGAGGTCCATATACCGACACGGATGATCTCCACGAGACTGCGCGGACAATCTCAACGCACTATCATAAAATCAAAATAATTTCCGCACAGACGATCTCCACGTGCCCAAAATATAATCTTAACATCTCACCACCCCCAGCACGGACGATCTCAACGTGCCCAACTTATACTCAATCTCATGTCAATGCATGTGCACAATATAATCTCAAATAAGGGGATGATAATGTATCTCAATCAATCAAATATCAACATAATACATAACCACCTCAACCATCATAAGTATACGGGTTCAAATAAGAACACAATCACACAAAATAATCAGTCGATAATATATCAGCTAATGCCCATATGCTTTGGCATTCTCGGATTTAAATCTGCATTCTACAGTAATAAAGTTTTCCCTCTTCATACGACACCACCAATAATGCTGCTTCAAGTCACGATACATCTTAGTAGCCCTCGGATGAATAGAGTACCTCGAACTATGGGCCTCCTCCATGATCAGTCTAGTTAAATCACCCGTCCGAGGAACACAAATACGACCTTTTATCCTCAAAACTCCCTCACTATCAAGAATTGCATCTTTTGCTTCTCCTTTTGACACCTTGTCTCGAATCTTACATAAATCAACATCATTAAACTGTTGAGTCTGAATCTGCTCCAACAAGGATGACCTAGCCTCTATATAAGCCAAAACCTTACCAGATTCTGAAATGTCAAGCCTTACAAAGCTATTGGCCAAGGATTGGACATCCCTAGCTAAAGGACGCTCGCCAACCTGTAACATGGCTAAACTACCCATATTTACCGCCTTTCGACTCAAGGCATCTGCTACCACATTTGCCTTGCCTGGATGATAAAGAACAGTCATGCCATAGTCTTTGAGCAACTCCAACCATCTCCGCTTCCTCAAATTGAGATCCCTCTGATCGAATATATACTGGAGACTACTATGATCCGTAAACACCTCACAATGCACACCATAAAGATAATGCCTCCAAATTTTCAACGCAAACACAACAGCCGCCAACTCCAAATCATGAATAGGATAGTTCTTCTCATGAACCTTCAACTGCCTCGAAGCATAAGCTATCACCTTCCCCTTCTGCATCAATACACAACCAAGACCGATTCGAGAACCATCACAATATACAACAAAACCCTCTCCCTCCACGGGTAGGGTGAAAATCGGAGCAGTAGTCAATAAAGTTTTGAGCTTTTGTAAACTCACCTCACATTCATCAGACCACTGGAAAACCACTTCTTTTTGGGTCAATCTAGTTAATGGAGATGCAATGGATGAGAACCCCTCTACAAACCGTCGATAATAACCTGCAAGGCCTAAGAAACTCCGAATCTCAGTAACTGAAGCAGGTCTGACCCAATCTCGAACTGCCTCAATCTTCTTAGGATCCACCATAATACCTTCCTTGGATACTACATGTCCCAAGAATGCTATTGAACTAAACCAAAACTCACACTTTGAAAACTTTGCATAGAGCTTCTTCTCTTTCAGAACCCCAAGCACAATCCTCAAATGATGCTCATGTTTCTCCTTACTACGGGAGTATATCAATATATCTTCTATGAAGACAAGAACAAAGGAATCCAAGTATGGTCTGAACACTCCGTTCATCAAGTCTATAAAAGCTGCTGGGGCATTGGTCAATCCGAAAGCCATCACCAAAAATTTGTAATGGCCATAACGTGTTCGAAAAGCTGTCTTAGGGATATCCTCCACCCTAACCTTCAACTGATGGTATCCGGATCTCAAGTCAATCTTGGAGAAAATAGAAGCACCCTGCAACTGATCAAATAAATCATCAATACGAGGTATCGGGTACTTATTTCTGATGGTTACCTTGTTCAACTGCCG